TGCATCGCATTCCGTCCAAAGGAAAAACCTACACATAACTCAATGTTGTGTGTAGTTGCACATCATAAGCATCATATTCCCCTCGATCCTTGATTCTTCAATTTGATCATTTAAGTTTAGGACCTACCCCATAGGAAGGACCTTAATCTTCACAACATAGAAACAAACAATCAAAAACAATACAAACTTTTTCAAACACATTAGAGAATAGATGTTAATCATCTTAAGTGAGATATAATCTCCACCCCCACAACAATACAATAAAACATGTAGGGACTTTGCCTTAAGAGCGATAAAGGCATACTTGGCGACCATCCGAGTATGTAAGACCTTTTCTTAAGACGATGCAAAGACCATTTCCTACAACCCCCTTTACATTTGTGGTGGTTACATCTCCCTTAAAATGAAGACTCATCTCTTCTCCTAAACTCAATCAAAACAACTACCCTAAACCCGTAGGAACTTTGACCACAGTCAAAGAAATCCTCAAACCCTTTAGGGTGAACTACAAAATACTCTGATTCCACTCCCGTAAGGATATGTAGGCATAAGAGGCGACATTGTATCGAGTATACTTAGAAATAAACCACTAGGGTTCTTTAACCATTAAGCAGATAAACACTTAGCAGTAAACAAACATAAAACAAGAGGTTCCTGTAGAGTACTACAGAAACTTAGGATGCTAGTACCTTCCCTAAGTTTAACCAACCCCCGAACCTAAAACAATCAAACCTTGCATTTGCATTGCATAGTGGGAATTTTGATCTTTATCCCTTCCTTTGGACAAATCAAAGTTCGGTTACAAAATGAATTAAAGATTCAAACTAATCAATAGTTTGGTATCCAAATTTCACCGCGACAGATAGACACCTATTTATCAGGTAAATTGTTGTCACAACACCTTTATCCCAAAACACCTTCTTCAATCCAACACTGGTCAACATGAATCTTATCTTTTCAAGGATAGTTCAATTGAATCTTCTATCCAGACCATTTTTTTAAGGAGTACCTGCTATAGTTTTGTGCCTAGAAATACTAGACATAATACAATAATTGTCAAAAGCTTCATTGCAGAATTTAAGATCATTATCAGTTTTCAATCTCTTGCCTTCCCACTAGTCTGATTTTCGACTAGAGTCATCAAACTTTTGAAATTTTTAAAAGTTTCATTCTTAGTATTCTTTATGAATACCCATAATTTTATGGAATAATCATCAATTATTAATAGAAAATAATTTGCACATGAGTTTAAAGGATTCCTTGCAGGCCTCCAAATATCAGCATGAATGTAATCAAGGAATCCATGTGTTATTTATGTGTCTTTGTTAAACTTCACTCTGCAGGATTTACCAAACACACAAAGTTCACAGAATTCCAGCTTTTTGACTTTGTCAGCACCTAGAAGATTATGTTTCCCCAGTTCAGCAAGACCCTTTTCACTGACATGGCCCAATCTCATGGGCCACGGCTCTGTCTCTGACACATATTGTGTGGAGGAAATATCCACTAATCCACTTACAATCCAACCACATAGGTATAAAAGCCTTGTTTCTTCACGCCACTCAAGACTTCCTTCAACCCCTTCATGACTCTTAGGATACCTTGCTCTCTTTTGAAAATGTATCCCTTGTTGTCAAATTCACCTAGAGAAATCAAAATTCTCTTCAGATCAGGTACATACTTGACACCAGTCAACAACTTTATTAACTTGCCATGGATCTTGAATCTCAAATATCTAATTCCTATAATTTTGCAGGCTTTGTTATTTCCCACCAGCATTGGTCTACAATCTTAATGACATAATTCCTCAAACATATATTTTTTCGGAGTCATGTGTCAAATAAATCATGAAACCATAATCCACTCCTTGCTCGAGTCGCTACTTGAAACTAGAAGAACATCAGATGATTCAAAATCATCTTGCATAATATTTGTGTTGCCTTTATCCTTACCTCCATAATTATTCAGGAGTTCCTAGAACACCTTTCTTGTGTGACCCTCATTCTTATAGTGGTAACACCTAATTCCAAGAGCATCATCACCATAAGACTTTTGCTGACCTTTACCCTTCTTCTTCTCAAACCTGCCATCTTTATTCAAGAATTTCCCTTTAAAGGATAACCCTTCACCAAAAGGTGATGGCTTTTTCTCCTTTTATTCGTTCAAATCCTTAAAGTACAAGGCTTATTGAACTTCTTCAAAGTTTATGGAATATCTTTTATACAAGAGAGTTTCTTTGAAATGAGCATGAGACCTAGGTAAAGAATACAACAGTAGCATCATTTGATCTTCATCAATGATACTAACCTCGATTTTATCTAAATCAACGATCAGCTTGTTGAACATATCCAACTACTCCGTCAAGACTCTATCTTCACTCATATTAAATGTATACGGTGCCTACTTCAGCTACAAGCCGTTTTCACTGACATGACCCAATCTCATGTGCCACAGTTCTGTCTCTAACACTTATTTTGTGGAAGAAATATCCACTAATCCACTTACAATCCAACCGCAGAGGTATACAAGCCTTGTTTCTTCACGTCACTCAAGACTTCCTTCAACCCCTTCATGACTCTTAGGATACCTTGCTCTCTTTTGAAAACGTATCCTTTGTTGTCAAATTCACCTAGAGAAATCAAAATTCTCTTCAAATCAGGTACATACTTGACACCAGTCAACAACTTTATTAACTTGCCATGGATCTTGAATCTCAAATATCCAATTCCTGCAATTTCGCAGGCTTTGTTATTTCCCACCAGCATTGGTCTACAATCTTAATGACATAGTTCCTCAAACACATATTTTTTCAGAGTGATGTGCCAAATAAATCGTGAAACCATAATCCACTCCTTGCTCGAGTCGCTACTTGAAACTAGAAGAACATCAGATGATTCAAAATCATCTTGCATAATATTTGTGCTGCCTTTATCCTTACCTCCATAATTATTCAGGAGTTCCTGGAACACCTTTCTTGTGTGACCCTCATTCTTATAGTGGTAACACCTAATTCCAAGAGCATCATCACCATAAGACTTTTGCTGACCTTTACCCTTCTTCTTCTCAAACCTGCCATCTTTATTCAAGAATTTCCCTTTAAAGGACAACCCTTCACCAAAAGGCGATGGCTTTTTCTCCTTTTGTTCATTCAAATCCTTAAAGTACAAGGCTTATTGAACTTCTTCAAAGTTCATGGAATATCTTTTATACAAGAGAGTTTCTTTGAAATGAGCATGAGACTTAGGTAAAAAATATAACAGTAGCATCATTTGATCTTCATCAACGATACTAACCTCGGTATTATCTAAATCAACGATCAACTTGTTGAACGTATCCAACTACTCCGTCAAGACTCTATCTTCACTCATATTAAATGTACATGGAGCCTACTTCAGCTACAGACCATTTACCAGGGATTTAGTAATGTACAACCCTCTGAGTTTACTCCACACACCTGTTGTCGTCTTCTCATCCGAGACCTGTTGGAGAACCTTATCACCAAGGCTCAATATGATAGAAATGTGGGATTTCTCGATCATTAGCATCTTCTCCTTCTCCGTTAGGGAAACATCCATCTTCTTTGATCCTTTCAACGCTTCCAACAAACTCTTCAGAATAGCTTGCATCTTCAAACGCCATAAACCGAAATAATTCACTCCGGAGAATTTCTTAATCTCATATTTCATCTATGCTCATTGCACCAGTTTTGTGATAAACGTCGCACTAGGAACGAAGTAATTCTATGAGAAAGTGAGGTTTTCTTGAACAAACACAAGAAATCGATTCGGTTACGAATATATATATATATATATATATATATATATATATATATATATATATATATATATATATATATATATATATATATATATATATATATATATATATATATATATATATATATATATATATATATATTTGGTTATAACAGTTTTTTCTATTCACTTTGTCTAAAAAAAATTAGGGTTTACAGATTATAAGTGAATAACAACTTAACCACTTAACCTTCTCTCAACAACCTGAAAGACCAATTTATTTATAGACTATTAAGATAACTTAAACATTAAGTTAATGTAACCAACAAGTTAACTTAGAAAACTGCATGCTTGAACAAACTTTGACTATAATATGCATTGCTCTATCGAAACATGAAGATATCCCTATTAAGACTAGAGTTTAATCCAAAATACCATGGTTTGAATCGTCATATTGTACTTACTAAGCGTTGTAATGTCTTGTTGAAATTCAATAGAATAGTACCAGTGCGATGTTGGAGTGCGCAACTATTAATTGCCTTATGTACTTTTCTCTTATTTTCTTCTTTTGTATTTCATTCTTATCCTTACTTCTTTATTGTAACTTTAATAATAAAATACTATAAATTTATCAGATTAAAATCATTTTAACATAATTTAGTATTTTCTATTATTATTAGACTCTTTATTAAAACATGTAAAACATAAATGTATTAATAATAAAAACTCTTAAATATAACAAGTTTAAGGACTAAGAAGATAGTGGGATGGATTGTCATCAATGAACACGAAGAAAGGTCCAGTTAACTATCACATTGATTCCACTATTTGATCTAATATTAGTCGAAATGTCCAAACCATCTTTAATAACATGAATTGTTTGCTTGGTAATACGAACATGATGAATTTATGGAGTGATTCTTGAAACTTGAAATGGGGATCCTTTAATGGAAAATCTTCATATCCATATTCACATTAATCACATCATGTATATTATAAATATTACTTTTCACACCCGCTTCCCATGCTTAGCCCCCACAACTACGAGTAGTTCAAATGTCACATACAATTTTCCTTAAAGAATGCCTTAAGACGTGCTTACCCAAGAAAGTTGTTGAAAAGATCAATTCAAATATACAATTTTAGTTAAAATTTCAAATCTAATCAATCAACTCACATTTTAAATGACTTACAAAATGGATGAAATTTACAATTAATTCTCTGTTGTGAATTCTAAGAGAAGAAATGGATGAAATTTTCGGATACATGGATGGAGATTTTGAAGTATCATTAACAGATTCAACAATGATGTCGATAGTTCATCGCGCGATGAACAAAGCTCAAGAGAAAATGAAAACAAAAACCGGAGTTCTTGAAAGATTGAATGAGATATCAAAATTTTATGAATTGGCAGTGATGCAACTTGAAGGTTGTCTAACCATTGTCCACACCGAGACCGATAGTAGTTGTCTTGAAAGCAATCACGAAAAACTACTCGACGACTTGAGAGAAATAAAGGACCGCCTTCAAGGACGACTTGAGGAATCCGAATTGATTATTTCGGAGAAGGATAGAGAGTTGTCACAAAGATTGAAGAAAAATCAAACAACTAGTGAGAACAAAGTTAAGAGTGGTGGTGATTTAGGTGAGTTGAGGAGTAGTATGGATCAACAAATGTTGCATATTAAACAAAGACTTGAACCACAACTTGACATGGTTGAAAATGTGGTAACACATACACATAATGTTGTTGTCAATGACACAAAAAAGATCGAAGAGATGGGTTCGGATATTGATGTATTGAAACAAACTATGGATCTTGCTTTTTGTAAGATGCAAAGTGCTCTTTTTTCATGTGAGATGAGGCCAAAAGAAATGCAATGGAAGTTGAAAATTGAAAAAGATATGATTTCTATATTGATTACTAGTTTCATCAAGGAGTTCCGAGAGAATATCGAGGTACGTACGAATATTATAAAATGTTTCATAATATCTTTTATGATTAGATTTTAGGTTAACAAATTGGTTTAATCTGCTGTTGTTGATGAAGGTTTGAGATATGAGAGTGGACTCTTTAAAGAAATTTAGATTTGAAATTTAGAAGTGGTAACAATTTTTGTGTTGGATCAGAGTTTTGTTGTAGAATCGATCCTGCATGGTAGAATTGATCTTTCCTATTAAATTTCCTTAAAGTTAAAAATGACTTGAAAGATTAAAAGTGTTTGTTATCATCAAGATTATACTTTGTTCTTAATTTAAAATTGTGACTATATCTTTATACATAGAGATTGATATTTAGTCATTTGAATCAAATTATTTGCTATTATTTTCTTACTTCCTTTTATATAAAATCTCACAACTTCAACAAGGTAGAAGCTAGAAGGAATGAGAATCATGTTCACAAATGTTGGCAAGAGCATTGGTCTCAAATGATGAATGAGGTTACAAGTTTAAAGAATGAACTTGTCACTACGCATGACTCATTTCCTGATGAATATGATTCTTCCGCCCTTTCTTCCCCGACAAAGTCTTCGTCGGAAGAAGCAACTCATGAAACATTTCATAAATTTCTACAAAAGGCGGACGAAAGAGATCCTAAGGAGAGAGAGTTACAAGAAGAGGAAGAGAGTGAAAAGAAAAGTTTAGTTGCTAAGATGATCAAGAATCATGAATCTATTATTCGACAAAAGAACGAAGAACTAAATCGGATTAAACATCAGAAAAAAGTGTCATCGTCTAGGAAAAGAAAGGAACTAAGCATCGTGAAAGAAAAAATCCATATTATAAGTGAAAGGTTTGATAATCTTATAAAAAGGAATGAGAAACAAGGTGAATCTCTTTTCAACCAAAAAGCAATTCATCACAAGGAAACACTTTTAACGAAAAAGTTATCATCACAAGATGAGATTGAGTTTGAGAAGCTAATACAAGAAAATGTACATAAATGCTACTTAAAAGAAATGATGAATGAGTTGAATGAAAAAATTGAAACAAACAAAATCAAAAGGAGAATTAGAGAAGACATAAACTTTCTTGTCTTTTTTGAGATAAAAGAAGATGAGATTGAGTTTGAGAAGCTAATACAAGAGAATGTACATAAATGCTACTTAAAAGAAATGATGAATGAGTTGAATGAAAAAATTGAGACAAACAAAATCAAAAGGAGAATTAGAGAAGACACAAATTTTCTTGTCTTTTTTGAAGCAATTAAGGATGTGAAATCCAATCATGAGTTTGTCTTAGCTAAGGAAAATTTGGAAGATGAAATAGAAGGAACCATAAAGGAAGATATATGCATGCTTGTGGTTAAGAAGACTATTGAAGAACTCGACAAAATGGTGACAAATTGCAAAGTTGAAACTATAATAAGAGAACAAATAGATCATATTGTGTTTGAAGAAACATTGGAAGTTTTTGTCAATATTTCAAATTCTCATCATAGAAAAAACATCAACATACAAGAGAATTTCTCTAGTATGGTATTAAATCAAATGCAAAAATTTCAAGGACATGAGAATTTGACAGTTATATTGTTAGAGTCTCTATTGGGTTGTTTTGAAGCAGAGGAGAATCTAATGTTAAGTGCACGTTCTGAGATCAATGAACATAGCAAACAACTCGACTTAGGTTCAGAACGCGGCGACCTACACGAGTATGAACTATTTGAAGATTTGATAACCGGGGAAGAACAAACATTTTCTTCACTAACAAGTAAGGTAGAAAATGTTTTGCGCCAACTAGGTATAAGTAAAGCACTTCTAAAGGAGTTAGGGACAAGCTTGGGACATAGTCTTCGTGACTCAGAAAGTTTTTATCGTCAAACGTTTGATTATGAACAAGAACAATTGAAAGTGTCTTCTTTTGAATCTACAACATTTGTAGAATTTGAGGAAATGGTACACCAGAAACTAGAGATGTTGACTATGAGGTATTTGTCGGATTTGGATTTTCTACAATTGCAATCTCGTGCATTCACGTAATCAGTATATCAAAGGTCTGTGAATCTAGATTAGGTAATGTAGAAAGCAAACAAATTTTGATTTGTTTTTTAAAAAACTCTCTACAATAGAGTTTTAAATATGAACAATCTAATCTCAACACAATAGTCATCGATATGCTGACCACGTGAATGCGTGAAACTTTGACGGCAGACAAATTCAAATCTATGTGTCACCGGTCATTGACTGATATTTGTAATATGCATACTATTTAATGCATGATTCTTATATTATTATTTTTTTGGAAACATGCAAATAGGTTGGAAAAGATGAATTGTTGTGTGGATTCAGTTATTAAGATGGTTGCTTGTTTGAGAAGAAATGAGTTACTTTACCAAAAGGCCTTCATTAGAAGATGTCAGAATCTCCAAAATGCTGAAGCTGAGGTTTGTTGCATAATCATATGAGTTTGTGTCTGTAGTTAGAAGCTTTTATCTTATTTAGATGATAATCAAGTTTTTAATCGGTAAGGCCTATCGAAGATGTTTCCTGAAAACGCTTGCATTATATGAAAGAGTAGTGTTATCTGAACATCACAAATCTAACACTAAATAATATCCAACATTTTGTCGATCAGGGTGACTTGAAGCGAGAATAAACATAAAACTGTATGTTTATGTCGCGTCTCCGACAATATATGTACGGTTACAGTATCATTTTTTTTCTTTAGGTTGATCTTCTTGGAGATCAAGTGGAAGCACTTTTGACATTACTTGAGAAGATATATGCAACCCTTCATCAGTATGCACCTGCCTTGAAGCAACACTTAGAGGTGAAGAACTATTTGAAGTCACACCAAAATTTTCAATTTTTTCCCTTTTGATTTAATTGTTTTAACCTTCAACAGGTTTTTAACTTATTGGAGTTGATAAAAACAGAACTGATTAATGGAGCTTTTCAAGCTGCAACTGTGGTGACTTAAACAAACTCATGTTGTTGTACTATTATTTCCAATCAGCATAACTGTCTTTGAGTGCGTGCAAGACGCGCTATCGCAAAGAGTTCAAAATAAGGTCTCATAAAATATTATCACGCAGTTAAATTGTAGTTATTTTGTCAGGGTTAAACTTCAGTTTGATTCCGAGGTAAAGATGAAAATTTTTTCAAGAACGTAAAGTCTAAATTACGCATCGAACTAATCGTGCAGTAAAAATGAAGAGTGAGTTTGCTTCCATTAAATAAAGCAAAATGCCTTCAGTGAGATGTATTGTACACATTCAAGATTGGATTAACAAAAAACAAGCATGAAAATGATTTGATTCATCACAGAGTTGGAGCCCTCTCAACATTTCCAGAAATGACAGTGAGCAAATTGTTGCCAAAAGGGTCACTGAGATGTTTTGCGAAATTCTCGACAGGTCCTTCTCCTGTGACATAAGCTTGAATGAAGAAACCAAGCATGGCAAACATAGCAAGTCTGCCATTCTTGATTTCCTTCACTTTGAGGATCGCAGCTTGGTCAGGATCATTTGCTAGTCCTAATGGATCGAACGGACCACCTGGATGAAGCTTGTCTTCCAAGTCCTGTCAAAAATAGGTAAAATTTGTAAAAACCAATTACACAAATTTGTTGTAACAAATTTACTGAATGATGCATTTGTTTCTTAAATACATCGTTCAGTAGTTAGTTTGGTTATCAAATGTGTTTTCTGATAGTTATTCTCGATACAACGGCTCAAACATTTAAGAACTAAAATGACTTTTGTTTTTTGTCAATTAGCGTCCTAGTGTTGAGAATTTCACAAATTAAGTGTGCAGAAGTGGGGAATCGCGGGTTCGAATCCGCTCCCCAGTACATCGAATGTGTCCACAGCTACCATCTTGAGTTGTACTAATGAAACAAAACCAACATGATTGTTTACTCGATAAATAGTACTAATGTTCACATACCAGTCCATTGGTGATTCTGTAGTACTCGGCACCTCCCAAGAGAACAACCTCGGCAACAACAGCGAGAATAAGGTTGATGGGGATATTTTTTCCGAAGTAGTTCAACGTGCCTCCGTCGAGAAGAAGTGCTCCGGTCTACATTCATTTCAATACGAAAATTAAACTAAATTGGCTTATAATGTAGATTCATGTCCAGAATAGTTACGCACTAGAGATTCATATTATTTAGATTCAGCGTTATATCAAATCGTGTATGAAGTAATATGCTTATTTAGTGTTTGCATACCTTGAACCAAACAGCCTCGGGACCGCAGTTGGCTCCATATTTGTTGAATGCCTCGGGAATGATGAATCCAGCAGCACCAAGCATTGCCCATCTTGCATGAATCAACTCATATCCCTGATATCTGCATTAATCCGTCGATCACAACATTACCACACAATTAATGTATCATAAACATGTAACGCAAGCACGTGCATGGTTTTGATTTTGGTTGCAGGTGTTGTGATTGCAACCATCGCGGTGGATGCGATGTGCATTGCAGTTGTTGCAGCGTGAATTTTGATTGGGAAGAGTTATAAATATATAGTTGAGTGACACTTAAAAGGATAATTTCATTACATCAGAAGAAAATTCAGTACTACTTCAAAAAACCAAAAACAAAACCAAACTATGACAGATAATTCGCAACTGAACTGAATTGCCGCGAATTGTTAGTCACAGTTCGGTTTTTCCATTGCGGATTTAGACATACTTGGCAAAGTCTTCGGGCTTCTTGCTTAGACCAAAAGGATCATAACCATAGCTGCATAGACACAAATAAAACCATATTAAGCAAAATAAGAAGCAAAATTTCAATATAAAAGTTAAGCAGTTCGATTGTGAATGAGTTAAAAGGGTTTCAAAAGAGAGGTTACATACTCTCCGGGGACTTCTCCGGTCAAGTACTCGGGAATCTCGGACCTGTCCAAGAGACCGTCCGGCAAGAAGATCCTTCTGTCAGGACCTGCCACCAAATTATACCAAGAACCAAAAGTTTTAGCAACTAGTTTTCAAATTTCAATCACTTAGTGCATGTTTGGATTCATTTTAAGTGAGTCAAAAGTGATTCTAAATACAAAAAATAGATTCGGGTATGTTTTGTTGCATTTCTCAATTAAAATTGGCTTAACTTCTAGAATTTGTTTTAACTTGAATTTAGAAATTATAGCTTTTGACTTAAAACAACATAAATTTATTGTTTAATTCACTTTTGTGTGAATCACATATCATTCAATCTTAAATTTACTTTTAACCAGAACAAGACACTCTTTCTACTTGCATGGTTGAATTAACTGCGAATTTGGAATTCGACAAAAACATGGTAGCACATGATTTCGTCTAGTTTTCGCCAAAATCACAACAGCACACTGAAATTCCACAAAAATAAGTGTAAATCCAAACATGCACATCTAAACTCAAACTGCAAATCCTAGTAAAATTAATTCTAAAAAGCATAATCAATCCTACTGATGCAGAATCAATTATGAGTGCTCCAAATGCGAAACGGAGCATATCTCTTTACTATATGAAACCTTATACTTTAGAGAACCTTAAAAAACAACAAATGAACAAACATAACAGAACATGGATTGTTGTTGACTTACCATACCACTTGGCGAGTTCCTCGTTGGCCGGCGCAACCACCTTCTGCTTCACCGGAGCCGCCTTCTTCTTCGAAAAAAGAGCAACAGTTTTAAAACTAGAACCAGTTGAAGAAGAAGGAACAGACCTAGTTGCACCACTGAATTTAATTTGAGTTCCAAGCATTTCCGACATTCCAAGTGAAGCAGCTGCAGTTGAAGCAGCAATGGAAGCCATGGTTTTCAGAATCTTCAACTCAAAATCCAAAACTTAGATGAATCAATGTGAAGATAGAGAGATGGCTAGTATATAGTATGGTGTATGGTTTTGTGGATGTGGACATGACACATAGGATTCATGATCATGGTTTTTGATTGGTTTGGATTATAGATGTGTAATCCTATGTAGGGATTTGATTGGTTGGTATATGATACATGTAAGATGATGCTGCTGATGTGTGTGGATTCTGTGTTTGGAGATTGCTTGTGTTTGGATAATATGTTTTATCTTTTTCTTGGACTTGTTTCTGCCATTCATTTGTGGTTCTTGTTTTTTTTGTAATTTTTTTTAGAATTTTTGAAATAAATATATATAACTGTAGTAACATTTCATTATTTATTTACACTTGTAATAAAAAATTTTAAAAAAACTTTTAAAACTCCGATTTTGGTTTTATATTTTTCTGCAATCACATAGTTAAGAAATTTACCGTCAGGCCTCAGTCCAATGGCTCAAAATAATGCATGATTCGTAGCTAAATTAAACAACTTGTAATCTTTAACATCGTGACGACATCAACCCGTTTAAAGCCATAGACTTTAAGAGGAACATATTCTCAAGATTCAAACCGGTCAGTATATTAATTATTTAAACTTAGACCAGTGTCACTAAATTGTTTGAGACAACTTTGCTTCAATTGCCTAGATATCTCCATTAAAAAAATCAAACAAATATTCCAATGGATCATAGTTGTTTGTAATCATATAAGTCTTACACCGTTAGATTGAAATCAAACGGTTTATATTTTAACTTCACCAAATCATATACCGACCCAATAATGTTGATCCAATGACCAATATATTTTGCATGTTGAGTATTTAATACATTTTTAGATCTCTGATCTCAACAAATATGTCTTTGGACATGTCAAAGTTTGATTTAAAAAATATTTCAAAAATATATCCATGTTTTTGGAAATAGACCAAACCCTAGAATATGAAATTTTACAATCAATATGAAACTTTACTATCTCACCATGTACTGCTGCTCCAAGTCTTTGACATGTTTTCTTTTTATCAAGGCATATGCGGAGTTGCTAACGATAGAGGCATTCCAACTACGTTGACACGCAAAAAGTTTATCGCGATTTAGTCTAAATTGCCGGAAAAGATATAAGTTAAATACAATTTACATGAAAATAAATGGATTATTTCATCATCTTCTCCACTTGTCAATTTCTCTTGATGTTGCCTTGATAAGCTTTTTAGTATTTATGACAATGTCATCCACAAGTGCAGTAATGTCATCTCTGAAAATACCAGCAAAAAAAATGTTAAAATCATGTTAAAAATGAGATGAAAACAATTCGAGTATATTTTTTGTCGTAGCACCGACATTTCTGATCAAAGGAGTGTCTGGATTTGATACCGACACGCCGTTGACACATGTGACTGTGTTCCATTTATTTATTTTATCAATCTATTACTGGTGTTGTCATGGTAGTGTCAGTGTCAGTGTATCGTGTCCAATGTTAGATTCATAGTATATAAGCGTGTATCGTGTCCAATGTTAGATTCATAGTATATAAGCGCTTAGCTAAATTGGTTATCCAAATAGGGAAAGTATAAGGAAAATTATGCGATTAACTTACTCAGAAATAACGCTTCTAGCACCATGAAAAGGATTTCCAGAACTACGAAAAGGATTTCCGACATTAGAGTACCTTCTATACTCATCTTGTGCAATTCCCTTCCCAATGCCATAACCAAATCCTAAACCAACACCACATCCAGCACCAAATCCGAAACCAACTTGCATGCCAGGAATTCCAGGACCAAAACCAACTCCTAAAGTCAGAAAAGTACTTTGCATGAGAATTTATGAATTGTAAAACAATACTGATTCTCCGTAGAGATAAAGAATTGTTTAAAACATCTGTTATAGTAGTATGGCAAATCAAATGGCAGATTTTTGGCATTCTGCCATCGACAATTCGGATCTAAGAACAACTTAATGCTATGTGTATAGTAAGTGTTCAACATTCAAACATAGAAACAAAGCTATTAAATGTAGTCAAGCATGAGATCTTAAGTAGGATCAGTCAGTTAGTGAAAGATCGTAAAACTCGGGTTGTTAGCACGGCAGGTAAGATCCTTAGCACAATCTTGACCATGCCGGCGACGAAATTGATCTTTCTCTGATCGTAACACTTTCAGGTATCCTTAACACGTAAGATCTTACGATCCAACACTCGATCTTGACTACACTGCTAATAACAACAAAAGAAACCAATAAAAAAGATCCATAACAGCCTTGACAGGCCAAACCGAACAAACATAGCATCACAAATCAAAATTGATTGACATAATGCAAATAACAAGAATAGATATGGTCACAACTTAGCAGAAACAAAAAGCGTGAGCTGAATTAGGTTTCAATTCATGTGAATTGCACGATGACTTACCAAGTACAGAATACTATCCCAAAAGGCTTTCAAAGCCCGCCGAAAACATAAAGTCAAAACATGGACCTTCAAATCAAAACTGAATTGTCCAGACCCACACCAACATGAGTACATTCATGCCTCCACAATCTAAATTAGTGTTATTGATTGCAGATGACAAACCATGACAGAAAGTGATAGCATCGCAAATTGCAATCATTCACAAATTGGCCGTAACAATTGCAAAAAAAAAATCCACTATTGAATTCACCATGGCTGATATTTGACAACACTAATCCAAGGGACAAGTCACACCGTCCCCTAGCGGGGGGGGGGGGGGGGGGGGGCCATTTAAAGTCGGAGGAAACATTGTATGGACTGCCTCAACACAGAGATTGTTAGCAGAATTCAAACATGAGACCTTGAGCGGAACACACTCTTAGGATCTAAGACTTCACCAACAGGCAAACAACTTGGGGTTAACACTGATCTAAGTAAATAGAACTATCAAACAACTAAGCTAATGATGATTTGGGTAAAACATTCAACAAACATTAAAATTCAACAATACCACCCCATAATCAATAATCAAAGTACATATCTATCACTATAGCCTATTTCTTTCAGTACTGTCATAGCAAAATCATCTAACTTTTCTAAACCAACAAAACAAATACAACAAACATAACCATAATCAACCAAGAAACTATTTCTAACAAAAGGGTCATTGAAAAATCAAAACTTTCGTTGATTACAAGAATTGAACTTTACCTCCGAGAAGACCAACGCCGAATCCAACGCCACAGCCTGCACCAAAGCCGAATCCGGGGCCCATTTTTCCGAAACTGCTGGACCTCACCACCGGAAGCTTCCACAGCAAACCCTTGTCATCGTTGTTCATTTTTTCCTTCAATTTTTCTTGTGTATTTTCGGATATATACGCAAACCAAATTCTACAAGATTGGATTGCTCTGATTCTAACACTATCGCTGTGCTCGCCAAATAGTGACTCATGAGTTGAATTTCAAATTAATTTTACATGTTTTCTATGAGTCCTTTTGCATTTCCTTTTTCGCTTTTTTCAAAAACAAGATTCAATTTTTTAATAACTTAAATTAGTTTTTCCTAATCTCTATAAATATTTTTAAATCTCACTTTTATTCCTTTGAATTCTTTTGGTAAGTTTTAGTGACAAATTGTAATCGCTAGACAATTATAGGTTGTGTAGAGTTATCTTACATCAAAAGACCAATGTTTTTTTTTGTACGATAGCTTCATCAATTTACTTTAGTTTAATTTGTGAAATAAAAGTCACAAGGTTTTATACTTTGGTTAGTGGATCTTGAGATGTAATTTTCTTTAAAAAATTTCTATTAACATTTTGAAAGGGATAATATGTTGTCGTGATGCAAAAAATATCAAAGCATATGAATTCTCGAAATATAATAGAGTCGTCACCAAAATTTATTTTTAACGGGAAAATATTGATAAAATCTTAAAAAAACAAAAAGATGGTCGACACAACAAATTTAAGTTCGGAAGTCGATTATGCGCGAGAAAGATATTAGCATCATGCACGTCTGTTGTACTCAACGAGAATCGTTTAGTTAGTTTAGAAAGTTATTGTTAGCTTAAAATGTTTAAGTTTCTTCTTTTTTTTATTAAAAGTATTTACATAAAATAAATAAAAAGAACTAAAAATAGATTTTTTATTAAAGTGTTTGACGAGACATTGAATCTCGCTCCTACGTATCGCAAGTATGATGGAGAACTCAAAACTACGTGGTTCTGGGTAGCAAATATTTGTTTGTTGGTTGATTTTAGGGAACGATGTTTAGGTTGCATTCGAGTGGTTAAACATTGTTTATTGCTCACGCAAGGGAGGTTGGAGCGTTTGTTTGTATATCACGTCAGAGTAGATAAAACACGTCAAAATTTAATTGATTAGTAAACTAAAAAAAATTAAATAAAATACACAAAGGAAGTGCAAAAGTGGAGAAAAGGGCTTGAACCAATAAGAAGGGGTATAGGCTAGTAACCTGGAAAAAAGGCTCAAGTAGAAAGCCTAATAAAAACTAAAAAAGAAAGTAGAAAGAAAAATAAGATGGGACTATACAAACCGTCTGATGAAGATCAGACGGTCTTAATTTGTCTCCAAGATGCAAGAAGATCTCACCACATGATCTTGAACAAACGAATATTGAGGCACGACACATGATAGTAACGATGGGGAATCTTGTACAAGATCCCTCCAAATTTTAAATCCAGCCCCAATAAGAGCATGACACGTGACATTTAATTTTAAATTAAAAAGAATAAGAGACTAAAAGAAATAGAAAAGGGATAAAACAAAAAAGAAAAAAAGATTTCAGATCTCTCCTCTCTTAATTTCATTCCCTCGCTCTCAGCATTCTCTCGTGTTCTCAATTTCTTCCTCTTCTTTCAACCAAAATTAAACATAAACCACTTCATGTTTTTCAAATCACAATAATAAATCAAACAGGGAAACAGATAAAAAAACAAACAAAAAACTTTGGCGGCGCCGAATGGATGAGCAACAGTTTTCGCATGTTAAAGGTGGTGGTGCGGTGAAAATGGTGGTTCTTCAGTCAATGACAGTGTTTCCCGATTTGTGTGGTTTAAAAAGGTTTTGGTGAGAAGTCGATGGCGATTGGAGGGGTACGTGTTCGACTTGCAGGTTCGCGTGGTGTGCGTCGGGTTGAGTATCGGCAGAAAACGCGGTGACTTTGTCCAGTTTTGTAGTGGCGGTGAGGTGGTCGGTCGAGCATGGAGTACGGGGGTGGTGGTGAGTTTTTCAGCCATTCTTCGCAGCAGTCGGGTCTGTTTCGTTTCTCACTCTTATTCTACTTTATCTTGCTATCTCAGTTTTTTTCTTTTGTTTTTTATATGAGTTGTTGAACTGAATATTATTGTTGTTTCTTATTTTTATTTAATTGTTATTTTTTGTGTGGATGAAGCAATGAAAAAGGGTAATGAGATTATGGTTGATCAATACTACAAAATAGACCATTCATCACACTAAACTACAACGGTCTGACTGTTAACCATGGTAATACCTCATTTTTGGATGAGCTTTGTTTATTTATATTTATGAAAAAACATTTCAATGTGTGTTTACCATGAAAAGTGGTAAACAACCGCTGGTCTCCAAAAATGGTTTACTTTACAAGATCAACTAGTGAATCCTAAGACATGTGTTATTGTTCAAACTATTTTTGAAAATCTTAATACTGCTTCGACAATGCTCATATTTGTAGAAGATTGTTTAAAGTTTAAAAGGTAAATTTGCAGAAATTGAATAAAGGAATTGCAATAAAGAAACTTCAAAGTAAGATTGCAATAAAAAAAGTAATTGATAAAACTAAAAATAAACTTCAATTGAAATGAAAATAATGGTGTTTCAGACGTACATTCTTAACAAAATCTCTTTTCTCAATTAACTTAGATACTTTGAGTAATTTGTGAATATTTGTACAATAATTGAACACACGAAAATCCTATGCACTAAGACTCATATTTATACTACGTCAAAAATAATTGTCATCAACAGTCTTTTCTCCAAAAAAATGACACGTTTTTCTATGTATGTCTTCAATTCGCCACAACTTTACACTCATCATTTATAAGAAACAGATAAGAACAAAAGACAGTTATCATCCTTATTTGAAATTCAAACTCTTTGTCGAACACAAGCTCTATATCACCTCTGTTGAAATTGCCATCCAAACATAGAAATATTTCTAAGTCTTGTTTCAACCCAGCGTATCCTTCTCATAAAGGACCACTTCAACTGGAATCTTCAATAATACTCCTGTCGAAGTCTAAAACATTTCAAAAATATTTCTTTTTGCTTATCATATTCAAATCAAATCATCAGCGTCGAAATTTCCAGCTAACAATGTGGTCAAACTAATAAACTGAGATTATATATTTATGGAGTGAAGGGTTTGAATCCCAGTTCTATCAATTTTTTTTACTTTTTCGTTACAATGAGTGTTGTCCTCATAATTATAATATATTAATTAAAAAATAAAATACATATCAACATGGTTGTTAATGTGAACCATTGTGAAAGTCATTACATTTCACCATGGTTTTTGAATACAACAGTGGTGAAATTGTTTACTCGTATATTATATACGCGAATTAGATCTCACTTCTTGGCATTATCACCGTATTTATCACAACAAAACCCTAACTCACATTTTCTCTCTTCTTCTTCGTCATTAGCTCTCGTTTCATACATAAAGTTATTCTTCTTCTTCCTTGTTCTTTATTTTTCGTGTATGTTGTTTTTTCACATGATTTTCTTCTTGTTCGAGAGTTTATGGTTTTTTGTGTTATGTTGTTGTTATTTGTTCTTGTATGTTATTTTGAAAAGGGGTTTCTCTTCTTATTCTAATTTTAGATCCTTCTCTCAGATTTTAGATCATATTCTCAACATGAATAGTGGGAGAAACAAACTTATCCAGGAGATACAGGTTGCAAAGGAGGTTATTGATATGGTGGAGTTATGGTTGAACAAAGCCAAGGAAACTGAATCTGTTTGGGATCACATTATTGAACCATCTGGTGGAACAAGCTATAAGAAGATTATTTTCAAGAATCTTAACCCTGAAAAGATGAAGAAGGTAGAGACTATTATGAATGACCTAATAAATCTGGATGCAACTGATTTTGAATCAGATAAAGACCTTGAAAACTCTGAAGACATTGAGAAATACATGAATTCAACTTTGCATGAGATTAACGACCTTGTTATGTTTCACATGATTTGTTGTTGGTTATTGTTGTTTACAATGTTTTGTATGTTATGGTTGTTATTGCTTTTATGTTACAATGTATTGCTAGTTTATGTTAACATGTTGCTTTTTGTTGTGGCATGATTTACTTCCTTTTTGGTCATGTTTCCAATTATGTTAATGATAGTTTATGTTTTCAAAATAGGTTAACATTCTGAAAGTTGTTTATATTTAGAAATCTGATTCAAGAGAACTCATACTATGGGTGTGGTTCATAAATGGTTTGTTTTGCTATGGAGAAACAATATAAGAAGTATGAATCTGTTTTAGAAGCTTCATCTGCCTTGTATTTTTTCTTCATGGCAACACAAAGTAGATCAACTTCAGATCATTCCACGAATCTTTTCAGTAAAAGGTATTTTGTTTCTGGTTTGTTGATAAATGTTGATGTTGTTGTTGTTAATAAATGTTGTTATTGTTGATGTATGTTGTTGTTGAGTTTATTATAATATATGTAGATTGTTTGTTTCACTAATCCTTCATTGAAGATGCATTCATTTAAAGTGATTAAGAAAATAATAATCTGAATATTAAGTTATGTTTAAAATGCAACTTAGATCAAACATGTTTTTTTAATTGCATGCATCCTGTAATTCATCTATATCGCTCTTTAACACGTAAAACTTAGTTTATTTCCCAAGGTTCTTCAAAGCAATTATTCGTTCTCTATTAATTTATATTGAAAAACATCAAATTTGTTGAGAAATTGAATCATCTTCATCACTATCATCATAATAATCTTCATCCTTAATTAAAATAATAATGATAATAATGATGATGATGATTCCGTCGAATTAGTCAATATATTGATGCTTTGCAAAATAAACTAGGAATGAACTGTTGCTTTGAATAACTTAGGCATCAAATTAAATACTACGTGTTAAGAAGCAAGAGATGAACCATGATATGAGTGCAATTTGAAAAACAATGGTTCATTTAAGTTATTTTTCAAGAATAATTTAATTTTCAAATTATTATCTTCTAAGTCAATTTTAATGGTTGTATATGTTTAGTAAGGTGTAAGGAAAAACAAACAATCTATATATTTTATAATAAACTCAAGGTACTTTTCACAATG